TAAATAAAATTTAGCTGGGAATTAATACTTACAATTAATTATATTGTATTGCTCGAATTGCGAAAATCATCACTTAATTTCAAAAGCTTCTTGCTTAATAATCATGTATACTTTTCTGAGAAAAAAATTATCAAAAATTAACCAATTTTTTCCACTAATTACAGTATATGTTAATTATTATGCGATTGCTCAACGTTTATCGGTGTTACCGACAAAGCTTGATAATTTCGTTAGTGATTGTCGACCGTTGCAAAAAAGTTGCCCATGTCAGCATGTCTGCACAAGTTTTTAAAATGACAGGTGCTACAAGTTTCGAGAACTGAAAACCCGAAAAAGTTAGGAGAATTAGAAACGGAGGAAAAAATTTTAGGAATTTGGTGTTTCTCTAGACGAAAATAAGATCACGAATTACAATACATAACACTACTTACAAATGTTCGTGTTTATATAATTATAGAAGATTATTAAATATTGTCTAAAAAGATAACACATTAAAAATTATAAAAGGGCTGATGCGAATCAGCATGGTACGTGGTATTTATGTTCAATAAAAAAAAAAAATATATATATATATATTTGACATTGCATTACTTAATAAAGCGTTCGTACATTTTGACTCGACTTCGAGTCATTTTCAACGAAGACAAAATATAGGCTGGGTCATAAATATGTTTTAAATTTTTGTGGGCGTTCTTTTGAATAAAAAGAAATGTTCTTATAAGCATTAAATAATAAATGGTTTTCTATGAAAAATAATAGACACAAACAGATTTGAAATAATAAATATAATGACTATATTATGGTACGTCGTGCTTATGCATGTGGAAAATAATGAAGGACATTTTGAGTATCTTTTAAATATAATCTAATCAAAAAACTTACTTAAAAGTTTTAAATAAAGTCATTGTTTATATTATATGTATTTGTGTCCATTATTTCGATAACGAAATACGACCTAATGTATATAGGATTATTTATTCTTCCTACGCTACTAAGAAAATTGAAATGGAGTTTTTGGTAATTTTAGATTTTCAAAATTAAAAATTGTATTGTTCCGTTGTAGTCGGAATAAGGAAACTAGAGATAAAGGCATATATAGACATTATCTCCAAATACCGAGATTTAAAAGTAAAAAGTTGTGTTATACAATCATTTATGATAGTAAAGAAAAGAAAAAATAACTCACCCACAATGCCAGGAGCGTGAGACTCGTATAATTAAATCAAAAAGAAGAAACGAATGACAAAATTTGAATGTTCGCAGTTAATTAGAATATTGTCAATTACATCTAAATTGAGCAGAAGTCAAAGTTAAAATAAGTGAAAAAAGAGCAATTCAAAATAAAAAAAAGTATAAATAAATAAATAGACAATATAAATAAATAAATAAATAATAACAGACGTAAATATACAAAAGAGATAATAAAATATAAAAATAAATATAAACATGTTCCAGATTGATGTTTATAAATTGAGATTATATTTTTTCTACTTTTTTATCAGTCCTTTCACAATTTTAAATATATTATTTTTTGAGAATTTTATTTATGTTTGTTCGAAAAGAATAACAGAAAATGTTTAGTTTTTCCTTCATTTTTTACATTGTTTTTATTTCGTTTTACTTCACATTCATTTTTCTTGAAACGTAAATTTTAATTTGCATCATAATCTCAAATATTTACGCTAACGGAAAGTGGAAATGTAATTAAAATAGTACTTCCATGTTACGTCTACAGTTGTAATTTCAATTTAAAACGGTGGCAGTTTACTCCGGAAAATACAAGAATTTCTTTCTTTCTCCGTCTTCACGGTTGCTCCAGCGAAAAGTAATGCTGGCTTCGAAACGTTTCGCAATGCGAACCTGGATCTTGGTAAGCATAATAATCGCACTAACCGTAGTAACCGCGCGCGACCAGCGGAAGTGGTTTTGTCGTGCGCAAGATAAAGTGTTATCGATCGCATTACGAGCTCTCGAGCGACGACATTGCAGGAAGAGGAGGACCATACAAGCTTGGTATGATGATAATCAGAGCATCGCGTTTTGCCTTTTGCAGGTAACGCTGGAGAACTACTACAGCAATCTGATAGCGCAGCACATCGAGCGAAAGCAGAGGCTGGCGAAGCTCGAGGAGTCCCTCAAGGATGAGGGCCTCTCGGAACAGCAGAAGCAGGAGAAGAGGCAGCAGCATGCTCAGAAGGAGACCGAATTCCTCCGACTAAAGCGGTCCAGGCTTGGCGTCGAGGACTTCGAACCTCTCAAGGTCATCGGCAGGGGAGCATTTGGCGAGGTAAGCATCGATAACATATGTATAATACCAAGCGAGTCAGGACAGTTACATTCGTCTAATTGTACTATTGTAAATTAGCTGTGATTAGCGTAATATGAGCTGATTGAATTTTAATAGATAAATTTATATTTGTAAAAAAGAAGTATTTAAAAACAGTAATAGA